ATGTATGGTTGAACCAGGAAGTGATTAACCTGATTGTTGCACAAGTTTATACAAGGCTTTAGTCTTGCCTAGTTAGTTGTGTAGTCAGCTTACACTGAGTAACAATTCGTACACAGGAATGCACTACACATGACACACAATAAAGGAAGTCTTGCTATAGTTTTGCGATCAGAGCCAAGAAAGTATTTAAAGCATGTTCTGTCTGTGAGCAGTCCTAATTACTGTAATAGAGACATTGCTCAGGGGAGGCTTCATAATGAAGATTTCTTATGTCAGGGCTCTAGATGTTTTTAACATTAGCTGTTTCTGAGCTTTCTGCCAATCATACCTTTCCCTGGACGGGGATACAAGACTGAATACAAAGTGATTGTCATCTGGCTGATTAAAACATTTAAGTGTGTTTGATAGTCTGTAAGATCCATATTGTGGACACCTGTTGTTGATGTCTGACATTGCTGCTTGGGGAAAACATTCTGGTGTTCCCAGACTCTCCTGTTACCCAATTTTCTTTAAAACCTGGAGTAACTAAAATTATGGTTTAGTGCAAAGTATTTAAATTCTAAAAAATAGGAAAAGGCATTTTGAAACTTGCAATCACAACCTATAGGCTGCCAGTGCATTTCATCAAGTGAGCTCTGAACTCAGATAGAAGGTGCCATTTGCTAAATGAAGGTATTGTGTTTGAGATCAAAGGCAGTTTTGACTTTTCACGTGATGGGCAGGTTCTCTTGCTAGGATCCATGCTGTCTCTCACATGCAGAAAGCTTAAAAATTGTTAGTGTATCACATTCATCACAGTCATCAATCTGATTCAAACCTACCTTGGATGTTTGTGATTGTTGGTACAGGAAGCAGAAAGAGGAAGTCACAGACAGGAAACACCATCCCACTTGAACATTGGAGGAGCCATATGTGCTGATGATGCTGAGCATTATTAAAGGAGAACTATGAGGTGAGTGAAAATCACTCAGTCTCATAGTTCTTGCCGACCTGTGACAATGAAACTGTCACAGGTCGGCTCAATAGATTGGGAAGTGAGCAAACGCATACCGTCGCTCGCTCACTTCTCGATCCTGTCCCTGCAGAGAGTCGTGACTGTCACTCACGGCTCCCTACAGGGATTCCCCCTCCCCTGTCCGATCCTCCAGCGCTGACTGGCGGAACGGGCGGGGGAGGGGTTGGTACAGCTGGCTCTGCCTCTAGATAGGCATAGCCAGCTGTCAATCATGCAGCTGGGTGGATCCCGACAGTAATGTCGGGATCCATCCCGGCTGCGGCGTCTCAGTATAGCGTGAGCTGTAGCTCACGCTATACTGAGCTTTGGGTGAAGGGAGGACCCTAGTTTGTGTCCTCCCGTTACCCTTAGGAGAACTATGGGACCCTTGGCCCCATAGTTCTCCTTTAAAGTGTATCTAAAGCCCAAAATTTTATTTTTTTCCTTTTGGGTAGAGAGGGGAAAGGTTTTTTCAAGTATGGAGTTAGATTCAAATTTCTGTTTATCACACTTATTTGTGATTTTCTATACATAATGTCCTCGATTTAAATATGAAATATAACAATAAGCAGAGTAAAGTCCTCTGTGCCATTCTTTGTGGATCTAATGTGGAGCTGCTCTGGGGGTGCCTTAGGATCGCTGGATAGGACGTGTTATATATTTTAATGTGTATAATCTACTGAACATTAATTGGCCACATGTGCTAAATGTTGGCATCAGTGTAACTAAAACACTTCTTAACGATAACATTACATTTTCCTTAATCAAAACAATGAAAGACAAACAAGCTAAATGGTGTCACCTTTCTATAAACATTCGGGGAAATGCGTCTGTTTTGAAATATTGTATTTTACCTAATTTATCTAATCTACCTTTATTGTTAAAATAAACATGTATCCGCTTTCTTCATATATGGTTTAGAGAATTTATCCAAAAAAGTAGATAATTCTACTATATGTTTTACAATTTATGTAACAGACCTTTAGCAATAGAAGCCTTAATGTTCTACACATCGAGGGGTAAAATTGGGCTCTTATGGCAAGATAAAGACTGGGTGAACTACTAAGAACTAGCAAGTGTTTGTAACGTATTGGCCAGCTAACTTTTCACAGCTCAGCTATGGGCTAATTATTTACTAAAACCTTTTTTTATTACTTAAGGTCCCCACGCACCTTACGATAATCGTACGATAATCGCAGGAAATCCCGCGATCGTACGATTATCGTAAGGTGTGTGGAAGCCGTGTGACCTCTAATACTGTAAGGTCGCATGACTTTGAACTTACGGACATGTTCGAAAACCCGCCGAGCATCGTACGACGTTCGGCGGGTTTGTGGCATGTCCGTACGATAACAGCCGCACACTGCCGCACACTAGCAAGCGCACACTGCCCGTTTGGCATTGCGGTCATCGGAAGCCCGCCCCTCAGGGGGCGTGGCTTGCGATAATTGCAAGTATGATCTGCCTATGCAAGATAGGCAGATTGTACGTTTTTTTTAAGTACCTTACAACCATTGCAAGACAAAAGTCTTGCGATGGGTGTAAGGTGTGTGCCCAGCCCTACAATCAAAGATGAGCAGAGTAATTTTGCCAAAATTGATTTGGCAACCAAACTACCCATTTTGCCCTTGCCGAAATTTTGTGGAAATTAGTCTCAACTTTCAGCATGTTTACTGTTAAAGCGAAGTTTGCTTGCACAACAAAATCAAAAGGCTTTATTTTTGTAACAAAGCTATGTGATCTCCATCTTTGCACTGACATAGTGATGAATGGCATTGTTGGTAAACAAGGCCACGTCATTGAAACACAAATTTGGGTATTTATTCCAGCTTTATTTAAAAATATACACTATTATTTTTAATGCATTTATAACTGCCTTAAAATGAACTTATCACCTGGGTTTCAGCTGAACTCTATAAAGAAACACCAGTTATGTAGTCATCAAAAATAATCATCAGATGTATTAAATGCAAAAGGTCAGTGCTGCTCAAGGTCGGGGCACATTCATTCGCCTGACAGGTGCTGCCCTGCCCGCATCTGGTCAGCAGCAACAAAGGAAAGGATAGCAGCACTCCTAATATAAATATGCAGCTTCATCTTTATTGTAATCAATTAGACATTCCAGAGATGCATCAAAAGAGCTTACCTTGCTCGTTTCACATAGCCATGCACTTAATCATTGCTAAGCGCATGTTTTTGTGAAATATGTAAGAAAAGCTCTCTTGATGCCCTTGTGGAATGCTTAATTAATTACAATAAAGAAGAAGCCGCATATTTTTATTAGGAGTGCTTTCTATCTTTTCCTTTGTTGATGTGTTAAATGCAACAACATCGGTGTAAGTACATGGATTTGTCCTCATATTAGCCCTATCCGATTTACTGAAGAGCATCATTAAGACTGGAAGATAAAGGGCCAGCGCCAAGAACCAGTCAGGACAACATGCTGCCAGGAGCAGTGAGCAGATGGGTGACTGATCAGTGTGCGGCAACATCATTTGTTTCTGGCGGTGTACAGTGACTAGTGTTTTTGATCAAATTTTGCTGCATTGAAATTCAAAGATCTGGCTGTGCTGTGCAGCAGGAGTAACTAACATGGGTGGCTGCACAGAGTTACCAATTCTTTGGCTTTTAAAATATTTCCTATATATGAGTTTCTACTTTGCATTTGGCTCTTTACCTGAAGTTCAGTTTTAAGAAACTGTTGACAGAGATCTTTAAAGTGTTGGTGGTCAAAACATAAGATTATTAAAAGCAGCTGTTTTGAGTTTGTCAGTCTACTGAAAGGTAACGCGTGATAAGTCAGTGATGTCTGCAGCTCCTGTAATTTTTGTATGCGAAATACTGAATTAGCTCACAAAATGGTTCCTTTCACTGAGCATAGGAGGCAAATACAGATTTGAGGCATCAGGAAATAACAGATGTGTTGGATGTGTGCTTTTCTTTAGGGAAGATTAAACCTGAAATCATTATTTTCTTTGAGTTGTATTAATTTTGTTAGGCTGATTTTTGACTGACATGGGCTCCTAAGCAAGATCCTCTTACTCCTCCATACTGTGCACAGTGTTTATATAAAGGAGACTCAACCTTAGCATTGGCAAATGATCAGGAATCACAGATGTTACAGTGAATTTCAAATGTTAGTGTTTTGATTTCCTTCCAGCATGTTTCCTCTCTCTGCTTTAAGCTGTAAACAGGTAGTGAGCTCATGTAAAAATACTCCCGGAATAGCTAAAATAATCATTACCTCCTCTTTCACCAATGTTTTTTTTTCTAGGAACTGTAGTAAGCTGTATTTCTAAACATGCCTGTAACCTGTTATACAGATTTATTTTGACATCCTTCTATTGTTCTGTAGGGGTGATTTATCCTTTTTTATTAAATGTTACCTTTAGACATTTCAGGCACAATCCTACACTTAAAGATCTGGAATAAGCCAAATGTGCATTTAGGATCTGGGAGGTGGGAAGAGTGAGCCAACTTAGACAAGCCTGGTTCAGACTTGTCTATTGGAGAAAACAATCATGATCAGCCTGGAAAATCCAATTGAATCAATCAGGGTTGTGTGACGTTAAGGATTGCTTATGGACTTATGATCACTTCCTCATGTGACCGTAAACAGCCAGATTATAACTGTATACATCGATATCTTCAGCTACAGACTGTGACAAAGATTAATCTAGATGGCTAAGCATAATAAACATAGGCAAACAATGGCAGACACAGACTGTTGAGGAACTGATCTGTGGTACATCAGGCCACACCTGCCTCAGTACGCCGATTAGCTTATGGAAAAATAGACATCTGAAAGTCAGTGGGGTTTTCAAAGATGAGTATAGTTGCTGAAGTGATGAATAGAATTGAATCAACCCAGAAAAACCCAAGTTGCAGCTTCTTGACTTTACAAAGAGCAAGTTTTATTGTAAAGATGCCATCACTGATTTATCATGTTTGAATTGTGTATGGATAACAGTGAAGTTTTGAAATGTGTTATGTTCTATTCCTGCAGTGAGGAAAGCTATAATGTCACAGACTATTCCATGCTGGATCAGCTTCATGTTGAGCAGTGTGACAATGAAGAGCCGCCATCTCCACTGAAGAACAGCACTCCTATCCTGTACTCGAGACAGTGCTCAGCCAGCCATCTGTTTACACTCACCATTCACAGCAATCATGCAGCAGAGAAGGTGGAGATGCTGCTGGGAGCTGAGACTCTGTAAGTAAATTCATCAATCTTAAATAAAGTGAATACTCCAGTCTAACATGAATAATTTGGATTTTAACTTGGGTTTGCAAAGTTTTTAAACTGGTCTTAATGTCAGCACCAATTCCAGGCTCTCAGTTACATAGTTACATATAGTTATATAGTATTTGAGGTTGAATAAAGACACTGGTCCATCAAGTTCAACCCATTGCGTGTATGCACGTGACTTTGGATGTGTATGCGTGTGTATGAGTCCCCGCGTGCTCTTGTTCCTAACAGTACCTGTACCCCTGAAAGTTACGGTCTCTGAGGAAATCGTCCAATTGCTTTTTGAAAGATTCAATATTTGCAACTGAAATCACTTTCTGTGGCAGTGAGTTCCAAACCCTAACTGCTCGAACTGTGAAGAAGCCCCTTCGACCCTTGTGCTGAAATCTTTTCTCCACCAGTTTTAGGTGGTGGCCTCTAGTCTTTGTTATGGAGTTTGCCGTAAAAGGTTTATTGCTGATGTTACTTTCCCCATTGAACATCTTGTACATCAAAATCATGTCTCCCCTTAATCTCCTCACTTCCAGCGTGAACATGTTTAAATTTAGTAACCTTGCCTCATAGCTTTGGTCCTCCATCCCCTTGATTTAGTTTGGTTGCCCTCCTCTGGACTCTTTCCAGCTCAAGGACATCCTTTCTGTGGATTGGTGAACAAAACTGGACCGCATACTCCAGATGAGGTCGAACTAGCTATTTATAAAGTGGTAAAATTATAGATTTGTCTCTACAGTGCATTCCCTTTTTAATACAAGCCAGAACTCTGCTCGCTTTGTTTACTGCAGCCTGACATTGCAAGATATTATTCAATATGTGGTCTACTATGACCCCCAGATCTTTTTCCATTTCTGACTTCCCTTTCTGACTTCCCTAGAGGATTACCCATTAATGTGTATTCCGTTTGCCCATTTTTAAAACTCATTGTAAGTAAATCCTCGACTTAGATGTTGGAGCAGCTTGCAGCAACCCTGCTGTCCCACTCTTTAATCGGAGTGCCATTACTGGCAGCACAAGTGATTTGACTGGACACAGAGGGCAAAGCATTGTTATAAAGTCAAGGATGTTGAGGGCACAGTTCAGCATGGATAGAGGTATTTGTTAGATTAGCCCGACAGCTAAACAAAAAAATTATACCACGCCTAACAAAATGCCTGTACTTTACAGTGTCTTCATCATATGAATGGATCTTGTGGCCGGTGACAATGGTGTTTCGTTTGCTTCAGAATTGTTAAAGAAAGGAGCTGAAGCAGGTTATCTTTAGGTCAACTTGATCTGCAATTAATTGTAAATGATCATAAACTAATGTAAACAAATGGGCTGCATTTGCCCACCGAAGCCTGTCGATACAGACCCGTAAAGTGCACTGAGTTTTATAAAGAAAATAGATTTGTTGACTATTACAATTTGTATCTGGGGTTACTTTTTACATTTTACTTATGAGTTGAGAAGGGATATTTGGTTATGCCACTAGTGCCATAGGCTATAGAGTCCTAACTTCGAATATGATACATTAAAAAAGACCCTCCATAAATATGCTAATTGTTCAGAAATGAGCCCTTCTTGATTCATTGCCTCCAAATTGAGCCTTAGCTATACAGGCACCTAAATGCACATTAGCAAGTCATAACTGTTTTTCGTTTTTTTAGTTTTGGATAGGGTGGAGAAGGATTACAGGTGAAACTCAAATAATTAGAATATCATGCAAAGTTCATTTATTTCACTAATGCAACTTAAAAGGTGAAACTAATATATGAGATAGACTCATTACATGCAAAGCAAGATAATTCAAGCCGTGATTTGTCATCATTGTGATGATTATGGCTTACAGCTCATGAAAACCCCAAGAACCCCAAATCCACAACCTCAAAAAAGTAGAATATGACATGCAATCAATAAAACAAGGATTGTACATAGAACAATATCGGACCTCTGAAAAGTACAAGCATGCATATGTACTCAGTACTTGGTTTGGGCCCCTTTTGCAGCACTTACTGCAATTACTTTTGCATGATATTCTAATTATTCGAGTTTCACCTGTAGAACACATCAGGTTTTGTTTGCTGTCTGTGTCCTCATGAATCCCGCCCGCTCGAGCGTGCACGAGTGGGCGGGATTAACAGGACGTGTATACACGCCCAGTTACATCCAAGAAGCTCCCGGCCGGCCGTGTATAGACAACGGCCGGCCGGCTGGGAGGTATGTTAAACAAAATCTAAAATTTTGGATTGCTTTCAAAAGAGGAATATATGGGGAATCTTCCAATGGGGACACTCGTTAACCTGCTGACCAACAGGGATTTCCTCTTATTTCCTGTTGTGTCTATTGGATAGGAAAGTGAAGGGAAATATGCCTGAAGGGACACAGATGACAAAGACAGCTGACAGAGGTTATAACCCTCCCATACTCTATCCAAAACAAAAAAAAAAGGTTTTGGCTTCAGTTCTAAGTTACATAATTTGTGTTATATACTGTAATGCTAAATTATTGTTGGGGTTTGGATTTTTAGTAGTTATTTTTTCTGACTAGAGACATTTTCATTGTCCCATGACCATTACTACTGTGTACTGCATCATCTAAAAATCTGTATAAAGTGTTGGCACCTGCTACAAGACCTGCTGCATAATATCAGTAACTGTGTTTGCCAGAAATCGGCTTCCTTCCCTTTCCATCATCATGGTATATGGAGTTGCATTTATCTCTCAGTTGCCTGAGTATCTGTTTTCTATCAACTTAGTCCTAGCACTTAACCCCCATGGATCCCTCGTCTTGATGGATTGTCAGTGACAAGGTGTCCATACATTCCCAGTGTTGCGGAGTTACCACTTCTGATATCATGACATGATGGGATTACCAGTTAGAACACTTGCTCTCTCAAGCATAAATTGGTGATCAGCTCAAATCCTCCAGTTTCCAGATGAGTGTTTTTATCATCCTCATATATCTTTCCCACACATCATTATAGCCTACTGTACATCACTTATGTTGCATGCAATCCAAACCTGTTTCCAAGTAATGTCTTTGGGAGGGTTTCTCATGTGGTTAATTTGTTAGTACAGTATTTCTATTATGTAATTTTTATTTATATAGTGCCAATAATACCATTGGTGCTGTACAGAGTAATGTAAGCCAAATGTGGGTAGATCTTTTACCAAAGTTCTGTTATTTGCCATCCTTTAAACAGCATGAAAAGGCAAATGAACAATGTTGCAGATTTGTATGGCATAGGAAACAGGTTTTAATTTGGCAATTGCTTATAAAGGTGCTAGCAACTTGACAAGCAGATCATTATGCAAAATCCCTGTGTTCTTTTGTGCTTATCTCTTTATAGGGCTTATGAAATACGGCAATAAAGAAAGAAATCATTTAATCAGAATATTTGCTCTTTGTCAACTTGCCCTTTTGTTTCTTTTAATGGGTACATCCTTACCTGAGTAATCTATGGAAGTTGTGAGACAATATATTGTTCTTCAAATAGAAGTGCAGCCAGGCAGCTAAATACACAGTCGAAATACATGTGTGTGAATGATTTTAACAGCCAAATTTCTGTTCAGCTGCTTTTGTGATGTGCACACCGACATTACATAACACCTCTTTCCATTATTGTAGCTCGACAGCCCCTTGTGTTACCTGCCTGCTCACTGGACTATGATATAGTATAGTCACATTGCTCATGTCCTCCCTATCTATCTCCCCCTTCTGTAAGCTGCCTATTCAACTTTCCCTCCAGGTTCTCCCTCCATCTCCTGGAGCCTGGAAGCTTATTAGAATGGCATTATTAGGCAATGTGTTAGAGGATAATTGACTATTACAGTACACTTTTATTTTGTTCATTCTAAAATACATTTAAGACATTTTAATTACTATATATGTGGGCTTAAACCGTTGTATCCCTTCCTCCCACTCAGGCACCCAATGCAGTTACATAGAAGCAGGGAGTTCACAGCTGACATAGCTTCTTCTGGTGAGGGCCCATTCAGTTATGTGCACATTGCCACGTGGTTTTTGGTGCATTGGTGTGTATTGTGTTGGAGCAGTCCATTAATTTCATATAGCCCTCCTTACCATCTTGTCTTAAATTGTATTGTGACTGTAATGTCTTCCTTATATTGTAAAGCGCTGTGCAAACTATTGGCGCTATATAAATCCTGTATAATAATAATAATATAGACTTTGCTGCATTGACATGAGTTGAAGGCCCATTAGAAGTCAATAGGACACCCTTCAAAACATGGTTGTTGCCATCGTGCATGAAAATATGAATTTGAAATGTGAATCTAAACTCAGTCCCGCAAGCAAACAGACCAGGGACTATAAGTATAAATATCTGCAGGCGCCGACTTTAAATTGAGCCTCTTACTTTCCCTTCCATGGCAAAACACAGGCGCACTTTGAATTATTTATTTACATGTGACTGAAATTCTGTTAAAAGAAAATCACAAAATATTTTGGGAAATGTAACAATACTGCAGTGTTTCATTTCATCATATTTATAGTCACTCAAATAAGATCAGTGATAATTATTTATCTGGGACAAAATACAATGTGTAAGTGTAAATAGGAAATGCAGTGCTCCTCTACAGATACTTTTACCATTGCAACTCCAGCTTTGGGTTATATTGAACAGTCTAGTGTGAGACAGATCAGCTGAACTCCACCCTCTAAAGTGTTTCACTCGCAATGAGCTTAGTCGTAGAGTAGTAGTTTCCAGAAGAGGAGATTCTCTTATACACAAATCTAAATTATTCAACATCCTCATCAGTAACATGCTGTTTAACATACTCTCACTTGAATCCGATATACAAAATGAATCCAACTTTCCAAACACAGGATAGTAACTGTCAATCCTCATATGATGGTACAATTACATAAAAATATAAACATTCTCCATGAAAAAAAATACCTACATTTAAATACACAGATATAGAAATGCTGCTCATGTGGGCTTCCCATTCCATTCCAACCTACATGGCAGGGTGGACCGACTGTTGAATGCAGGGCCCCAGCTTCTCATGAACGAGCACTGGGCTAGGAGAACTTGGCATGGCTAACCACACATTCACTGTCCCCAGCTGGGCTCTGAATTTTGTGAGTGGGAGAGAAAGTGAACCGTGTATGCGTTGTTAGCCAAGCCGTCTTCTCCTACCCAAGTGCTCGTTTATGAGGAGCATCCACGGAGAGAAGCCCATGGGAGCAGCAATAATAAAAGTAAGCACTGGACTGTTCAATAAAACTACTACGGTGGAGTTAAAGGAGAATTATGGGGTGAGTGAAATACACTCATCCCCATAATTAAATCCGACCTGTGACACTGAAGCTGTCACAGGTCGGCTCTATTGATCGGGAACTCAGCGAACACATAGCGCCCATTGCTGACTTCCTGATCCTCTGCCTGCAGAGCGCGGTGACTGTCAGACTGTCTCTAGAGAGGCTGAGTCTGCTGTCAATGTGCCAGTGGGGTGGATCTTGACAGTATTGCCGGAATCCGTCCCAGCTGCGGCGCAGCCCTGCACTCTCAGCATATAGCGGGCAATATATATTAGTATATGTCCTCCACACCTCTCTATTTCTCTCCCCTCTCTGTTTCTCCAGCATTGACTGGAGGAACGGATGGGGGAGGGGGGTGGTCAGAGCCCACTGTCAATAAGCCAGCAGGGTGGATCTCGACAGTATTGTCTGGATCCGTCCCAGTTGCGACACGGCCCTTCGATCTCAGCACATAGAGGGCAATATACATTAGTATATGTCCTCCTGTGACCCTGAAGAGAACTATGACCAAAAAAGTTAGGCCATGGTTCTCTTTTAATTTGCTTCTTTCTACTAATGTGTAAATGTAGATCATAGGAACTGAATAGTGTTTGCTGTAAAGCAGGGGTGATCAGCCTTGGTTCTCCAGCTGTGGAGCAGCTATAAATCCCACCATGCCGTTGGCTTTTGCAATCAGGTCTGTCGCTGTCAAAGTCTTGCAATGCCTTCTGGGATATGCAGGGATATTCACAATAGCTGGAGTGCAGAGGTTGCCTACCCATGCTGTATGGTATTACTGTAGTGGTTTACAAGTTACTGCGCTCACTTTTCATTCTTCAGTGCAGAAGAAGTCGCAAAATTTTGATTCACTTGCGTTGACAATATTGCTCATTATTTTTAATCTTGAAAAAACAATATTTTGTTTCACCGCACTTAGATTTCAATCTATGATTATTGTTGACACTTTCTCACAAGCCAGGTTTCCTGCCCGCTGTAATCTGAGTATAAATTTGTGTTTTGCAGAAGCGATCGAGCACGCTGGATTACTGCACTGGGCCAGAGCGAGGAAAAGCCATGCACAGATAGAACAAGTAAGAACTGCTGCGGTTGGCTTATACTACCCTCTGCTGTTCACTTGTAGAATGTATTTTAAAGCTTGATCAACTTTAAATTTAGTTTGTGCCAATAAATGAGGATGTTTCTAAAACAGAGGCAGTCATAAATAGCAAGTCTCTACTAAGCATATAATTATCAGTAATTGGTAAGGCCAATGAGATGCTTGGCATTCGTTGCACAGTCCAATGATCATAAATATTTGTGCATTGTGTGCTTGTTTATAACTGTTATCAAATTAGCAATGGAAACATATTAAAGTATTAAATGGGCATGTTGCTTAAAGTGTATTTCCACTCACCATTTTAGAAGTCCCCCTTCCCCATCATGTTTGCTTTGTGTTCCTATTTACACCGCATATGTAAAAATTATTTATTTATTTGTTAGATGTTTCTTTGGTGAAGGCCTTTGCACAGATTACATTCTACACTGAGCAGTTTGAAAGTGAAAGTAGAGTGACAAACTGAGGGACAGAATGAGGTTCCTCTCATTAACATACAGTGCTTCTAAGTCTTTAACCATTTGTTAGGACAGATAGCGTTCAAATCTAGTTTACAACCTATGCCCACGTGACAGCACTCTGTGTCTGCACAGCCAATCACCAAGCGCCGTTGCTGTCATGTGGGAGGAAGGAGAGTGAGTCGCATGCTCCCTATTCCCAGAAGTATTGCATTTTTCTTTTTGCTGCCAGTGGCAGAGTCGGGGGAAAGTGAAAGGAAGGTGTGTATGGATACAAGAAAGGGTGCCTAGTGGAATAATATACCATATGACATAATTTTACGCCACCATATCCTTGTACAGCATTGTGATGGGGTATGTGGACAGGTGATAATATTAAACAAGGAACCTTTTGACTACAGTGAGTCTTCTTCAAAGTTATACAAGTATTTATTTAATCTTGAAAACAGATTATTATAACAAAAGTTCAAGCTGATCCTCAAAGTGACATTAAGGGATCTCTCCTCCCCCCACCCCCCCATGTTAGTGTAAGGACTTACCTTAAATCATGCCTCTTAATCCGATCATCTTCTTTAATGTAGTTTTTCAGACGTCCCTCTAGCGCTGGTGCGGGTCTCCGATCCAACGCTGACTACTCCGTGCTAGCTGGCACTTCCTGTCCCACATTGTCTGCACGGGTGCACGCTGCTCCGTAGACTTACCTTGTGTCTCTCCTCGTCTCCCGGCTGAACATCTGAACTGCTCATGCGCCGCCCCTAGATCTTTTGCGGGTGCCCAAGACTCTTCAGATGTTCGGATGGGAGCGTGTGGCGAAAACACAGGTAGGTTTAAACCTGTTTGAAAAGGTTTTTTTTTTTAAAGATTTTGCATATATCTACTGCTTGCTAGCAGTAGATATATGCAAAAACATGCTGAGGGTTTAAGATTAGACAAACAGAAGATTATTTTTAAACGATTCAATGTAGATTCAGCAAAAATACACTTTGAAATGAGCATGATAAATAATCTAATGATAGCACATATTTATTTTGTGTGTGTAACTTGTAAGATTTTAGGGCTATTGGTGGTTATTTCATTTTTTTTCCATGTTGCCTAAAGTTTAGAACTTCACATGTATGTCCTGATGATAAAACGTCTCAGACATTGTCTGCAGAGGATCAGTTAAAAAACTATTTCAACCAATATTTCTGTTTGTTAGTGATAACTTTTTACCTATCCTTGATTTGCTGAATCTACTGAAATGTTTACGGTGAATGGCTCCTTAGAGTTTTCTATATGTAGATTTATTCTAATACATATTTTTTTCCTCTTAGCTTTAACTCAGGTGGAGATTATTCGGACCTACACAGCAAAACAGCCTGATGAGTTATCCCTACAGGTAGCAGACGTTGTCCTGGTGTATCAGACAGTCAACGACGGTGAGCACAGTCATAATGTTGTACTTTGTTGGGGATGTATGGTGTTTAACTTACATTTCCCAAATGTTAATGATGTATATTATTGGTAGCTTTTATAGTGGGGATATACAGTCCTTAGAATATTATTTTTTACATTTTACAAGTTTTTTAAACTTTTATATTTTGTTTTTATTTATATAAAATAATATAGTTTTACAAATAAGCATCAATACAGTGTGCATCCATGATTTGGCAGTGAATTCTAGTTTTTCTAAATAGAAAGCTAAAAAACTCTAGGAAGCTGTACATGGAAGAGAGAAGTGATGAGTTCCTTTTCTGATTCCTTCATCTGTGTGTTAAATCAGAGAATCCAGTTCTGCAAAGTAGTTAAGATTGGCTTGATAAATATGTGAAAATGAACCCAGAGCATTACGTTTGCCAGTAATTAGTATAAAATATAGATTTAAATGTCTATTTAGTAGACTGATTGAGGCTTGCTTTAAAGTCCCAAAGAAATCAAAGTACCAACTACTTTTCTGAATATGCTGCAGTAGCTTCTTATAGAAAAGCAGCCCACAGTTACGCTATACTGTTGCTAAATGGGCCCTATAATGGCCTGTGTAGATGCCTTTACATTCATTCAAATTTTAGATATTTGGAAAGGTTAAGACCTTTTGCACTCATTGGTAAATCTGTATGTGCCATAATGTTTTACCAAAATGAACAGAATGAGTAGATATTCTATGTTATGAAGCAAAAATGCACACAGCCATGGCTGTTGTCTTATGTTATGGGAAGTCTGTCTCTTCTAATACGGAGAACTGGGGCATCCGTAATTTCACTCAACAGGGGTGTTCCTATTTTCAACTGCAGTCCCAATGACATATATGTCTTTATATTAGTGCCTTAGCTTGTTTTATTTCTCCATGAGCTACATCTGCATATTCCAGTGTGAAGTGTGTGGGATGCAAAGAAGATATCAGAGAATTCCACCTCTCCCTACCACCAGGGCTGTCAGTCAGGACTTATCTACATATTAACACAAAAGGAAGATAAGACAAAAATTCCTCTTTTGTACTGTCTACTGTTGCTTACCCTTTATATAACTTTTTGAAAGTAAAATTTGACATAATTCTTCTTTGCACCTCATGTGGAACTTACAGGAGCTGATGAAAAGAGCTGACATTTTACGTAGTGGATTTGTTTATAATGGTCTTTGGGGTGCCCGGGCGTGAGCCCCTGAAAAAGTATATTCTGGAATAAGATTTTTACCATTATTTGTGGCAAGGGTGTCCTTGTGAATGGCAAATAAATCAACATTACATTAAAGTCTTTTTAATAAAAATGGAAAAGTTTAAAATGTATTGTGACTCCACCAAGTAATAATGCAGATATTTCCTTTCGGAGCGTCTTACTTAAAATATATCTGCAGCATCGCCACCTGGTGCATCTGCTAGAGTAGATTGCCTGTTCAAAATAAACCTCACCTGTACTATTATTAATGAAAGATTCTAAACCCAATCACTAAAATCTCATGTAATCTTTAACATATTAATGTAATTTCAGAGTTTGGTGTCGGCCTTTTTTAAATTGCAGCTTTTTTTTAAAGAATATTTGGTGATCTTGCCATAAAGGTCCATGTCCAGACATGCCTTTTATTAGGATGCCAAGTGTCTCCCAAAAATGCTTCTGCTTTGTCACCCTGTTGCATGCACATTAGCTGGAACTTTTCTTCAAGCATGCTTGACCTCTTGAACATGCACTTCTCCTTATATGGGAGCTTTATATTCAAGGGTACTGTTAAACCCTTTGTGGTTTTTTTACTAACCATTACTCCCACAAAATTAGGTAATCATTGTGGTTTTCTTTGTCTTTGCAGGTTGGTATGAAGGAGAAAGACTGAGGGATGGAGAGAGAGGCTGGTTTCCCATGGAATGTGCAAAGGAAATTACATGTCGGGCTACACTAGAAAAGAATATGGAGCGCATGGGACGTTTACTTGCTCTGGAAACCAATGTGTAGACTCCAATATTAGCCATTTCTTTACTGCAACATTTGCACTATAGTAGCACCACTGTGCATAGGGAAATAAAAGGGAACACAATCTTCAATCTGCTTTGTCATGAAGGTACAACTTCCCAAAGCTGTGCAAACTCCGAGAGTACTGAACTGAGGATATCATAGCTCCCTGCTTGTCAGCTAATATTATCTCCTCCTCTACTTATTGTGCCAATAAATGAGGATGTTTCTAAAACAGAGGCAGTCATAAATAGCAAGTCTCTACTAAGCATATAATTATCAGTAATTGGTAAGGCCAATGAGATGCTTGGCATTCGTTGCACAGTCCAATGATCATAAATATTTGTGCATTGTGTGCTTGTTTATAACTGTTATCAAATTAGCAATGGAAACATATTAAAGTATTAAATGGGCATGTTGCTTAAAGTGTATTTCCACTCACCATTTTAGAAGTCCCCCTTCCCCATCATGTTTGCTTTGTGTTCCTATTTACACCGCATATGTAAAAATTATTTATTTATTTGTTAGATGTTTCTTTGGTGAAGGCCTTTGCACAGATTACATTCTACACTGAGCAGTTTGAAAGTGAAAGTAGAGTGACAAACTGAGGGACAGAATGAGGTTCCTCTCATTAACATACAGTGCTTCTAAGTCTTTAACCATTTGTTAGGACAGATAGCGTTCAAATCTAGTTTACAACCTATGCCCACGTGACAGCACTCTGTGTCTGCACAGCCAATCACCAAGCGCCGTTGCTGTCATGTGGGAGGAAGGAGAGTGAGTCGCATGCTCCCTATTCCCAGAAGTATTGCATTTTTCTTTTTGCTGCCAGTGGCAGAGTCGGGGGAAAGTGAAAGGAAGGTGTGTATGGATACAAGAAAGGGTGCCTAGTGGAATAATATACCATATGACATAATTTTACGCCACCATATCCTTGTACAGCATTGTGATGGGGTATGTGGACAGGTGATAATATTAAACAAGGAACCTTTTGACTACAGTGAGTCTTCTTCAAAGTTATACAAGTATTTATTTAATCTTGAAAACAGATTATTATAACAAAAGTTCAAGCTGATCCTCAAAGTGACATTAAGGGATCTCTCCTCCCCCCACCCCCCCATGTTAGTGTAAGGACTTACCTTAAATCATGCCTCTTAATCCGATCATCTTCTTTAATGTAGTTTTTCAGACGTCCCTCTAGCGCTGGTGCGGGTCTCCGATCCAACGCTGACTACTCCGTGCTAGCTGGCACTTCCTGTCCCACATTGTCTGCACGGGTGCACGCTGCTCCGTAGACTTACCTTGTGTCTCTCCTCGTCTCCCGGCTGAACATCTGAACTGCTCATGCGCCGCCCCTAGATCTTTTGCGGGTGCCCAAGACTCTTCAGATGTTCGGATGGGAGCGTGTGGCGAAAACACAGGTAGGTTTAAACCTGTTTGAAAAGGTTTTTTTTTTTAAAGATTTTGCATATATCTACTGCTTGCTAGCAGTAGATATATGCAAAAACATGCTGAGGGTTTAAGATTAGACAAACAGAAGATTATTTTTAAACGATTCAATGTAGATTCAGCAAAAATACACTTTGAAATGAGCATGATAAATAATCTAATGATAGCACATATTTATTTTGTGTGTGTAACTTGTAAGATTTTAGGGCTATTGGTGGTTATTTCATTTTTTTTCCATGTTGCCTAAAGTTTAGAACTTCACATGTATGTCCTGATGATAAAACGTCTCAGACATTGTCTGCAGAGGATCAGTTAAAAAACTATTTCAACCAATATTTCTGTTTGTTAGTGATAACTTTTTACCTATCCTTGATTTGCTGAATCTACTGAAATGTTTACGGTGAATGGCTCCTTAGAGTTTTCTATATGTAGATTTATTCTAATACATATTTTTTTCCTCTTAGCTTTAACTCAGGTGGAGATTATTCGGACCTACACAGCAAAACAGCCTGATGAGTTATCCCTACAGGTAGCAGACGTTGTCCTGGTGTATCAGACAGTCAACGACGGTGAGCACAGTCATAATGTTGTACTTTGTTGGGGATGTATGGTGTTTAACTTACATTTCCCAAATGTTAATGATGTATATTATTGGTAGCTTTTATAGTGGGGATATACAGTCCTTAGAATATTATTTTTTACATTTTACAAGTTTTTTAAACTTTTATATTTTGTTTTTATTTATATAAAATAATATAGTTTTACAAATAAGCATCAATACAGTGTGCATCCATGATTTGGCAGTGAATTCTAGTTTTTCTAAATAGAAAGCTAAAAAACTCTAGGAAGCTGTACATGGAAGAGAGAAGTGATGAGTTCCTTTTCTGATTCCTTCATCTGTGTGTTAAATCAGAGAATCCAGTTCTGCAAAGTAGTTAAGATTGGCTTGATAAATATGTGAAAATGAACCCAGAGCATTACGTTTGCCAGTAATTAGTATAAAATATAGATTTAAATGTCTATTTAGTAGACTGATTGAGGCTTGCTTTAAAGTCCCAAAGAAATCAAAGTACCAACTACTTTTCTGAATATGCTGCAGTAGCTTCTTATAGAAAAGCAGCCCACAGTTACGCTATACTGTTGCTAAATGGGCCCTATAATGGCCTGTGTAGATGCCTTTACATTCATTCAAATTTTAGATATTTGGAAAGGTTAAGACCTTTTGCACTCATTGGTAAATCTGTATGTGCCATAATGTTTTACCAAAATGAACAGAATGAGTAGATATTCTATGTTATGAAGCAAAAATGCACACAGCCATGGCTGTTGTCTTATGTTATGGGAAGTCTGTCTCTTCTAATACGGAGAACTGGGGCATCCGTAATTTCACTCAACAGGGGTGTTCCTATTTTCAACTGCAGTCCCAATGACATATATGTCTTTATATTAGTGCCTTAGCTTGTTTTATTTCTCCATGAGCTACATCTGCATATTCCAGTGTGAAGTGTGTGGGATGCAAAGAAGATATCAGAGAATTCCACCTCTCCCTACCACCAGGGCTGTCAGTCAGGACTTATCTACATATTAACACAAAAGGAAGATAAGACAAAAATTCCTCTTTTGTACTGTCTACTGTTGCTTACCCTTTATATAACTTTTTGAAAGTAAAATTTGACATAATTCTTCTTTGCACCTCATGTGGAACTTACAGGAGCTGATGAAAAGAGCTGACATTTTACGTAGTGGATTTGTTTATAATGGTCTTTGGGGTGCCCGGGCGTGAGCCCCTGAAAAAGTATATTCTGGAATAAGATTTTTACCATTATTTGTGGCAAGGGTGTCCTTGTGAATGGCAAATAAATCAACATTACATTAAAGTCTTTTTAATAAAAATGGAAAAGTTTAAAATGTATTGTGACTCCACCAAGTAATAATGCAGATATTTCCTTTCGGAGCGTCTTACTTAAAATATATCTGCAGCATCGCCACCTGGTGCATCTGCTAGAGTAGATTGCCTGTTCAAAATAAACCTCACCTGTACTATTATTAATGAAAGATTCTAAACCCAATCACTAAAATCTCATGTAATCTTTAACATATTAATGTAATTTCAGAGTTTGGTGTCGGCCTTTTTTAAATTGCAGCTTTTTTTTAAAGAATATTTGGTGATCTTGCCATAAAGGTCCATGTCCAGACATGCCTTTTATTAGGATGCCAAGTGTCTCCCAAAAATGCTTCTGCTTTGTCACCCTGTTGCATGCACATTAGCTGGAACTTTTCTTCAAGCATGCTTGACCTCTTGAACATGCACTTCTCCTTATATGGGAGCTTTATATTCAAGGGTACTGTTAAACCCTTTGTGGTTTTTTTACTAACCATTACTCCCACAAAATTAGGTAATCATTGTGGTTTTCTTTGTCTTTGCAGGTTGGTATGAAGGAGAAAGACTGAGGGATGGAGAGAGAGGCTGGTTTCCCATGGAATGTGCAAAGGAAATTACATGTCGGGCTACACTAGAAAAGAATATGGAGCGCATGGGACGTTTACTTGCTCTGGAAACCAATGTGTAGACTCCAATATTAGCCATTTCTTTACTGCAACATTTGCACTATAGTAGCACCACTGTGCATAGGGAAATAAAAGGGAACACAATCTTCAATCTGCTTTGTCATGAAGGTACAACTTCCCAAAGCTGTGCAAACTCCGAGAGTACTGAACTGAGGATATCATAGCTCCCTGCTTGTCAGCTAATATTATCTCCTCCTCTACTTTTATCTCTGAAATGTGCTAGAGAAAGTTTAAACTGATGAGACCTATATACAGAACACATCAGGAAATGCCCTTACTAAAGACTTAGAAGAGCTCTCAGATTCTTAATCAGGCTTAGTGTGAGCATGGAAATAGAGAGGGCCATGAAGGATCCTGATTAACGTTTCATAGCCAGGAATAGGAATTTGGAAGTTCATCTTTAGGTGTATGTTACCAATAAAAATATTGATTATGAAAGTATATTATCTATAGGAGAGATTGGAACATCTAAATGTGGAATGAATTTTGTGTCTGTATTAAAGCAATACTAAGAATACTTTGAAGCAGCCATATTTATTAATTTTCTTTTTTAATGATTTGTAGAAATTGGTGTACTGTGGTTAAATGTGGCTAAGTTGCGTTGTCCCAGACTTGATATTGATACTTACATGAATTACTATTTTCCAAAACGCAGTGGCTCCCATGCATTGCCAGGGAATCTTCACTATAGTATACTTTAGATTAGTGGCTTAGAACATATGCATTGGTGATCATCAAAGGCAAAATATGTCTTTGATTATTTTACAGACTTACTGGTTTATATTTAACAATATTCAGGCCTGAAGTCCTGTCATACATCTACCCACCCAATGCTGCCCACTTGTATGAGGATACTCATATATGTTGGTGGATAGGTGAGGTATTCAGGTATTCAGTACAAGACACCCAGCTGTTCTTATTTAAAGGTCATATACATGCTGTGTGCAGGTAATATAAGCTGTTCTGCCACTATCTGTGACAGGAGATCTGGGCAACTTGAACGTGGATATGGAAGCATAAAAAGTATAACTGTTCTGATATAAACTATGTGGAAACAGTGTAGATATCATAGGTCTCTATTTATTTATACCATGCATAAATGGTATAAATGAAGAAAATATTGTGGTTGATTTACTAAAAGAGTAGAGTATGTTCACATTACAAAGTGAATTTTCACTTGCCTTTGTGAATGTGGTGAAAATTCACTTTGTAAAGAATATCAACTCACATGCATAACAACTGGTCTAAAATTCTGTTTCCTAGTAATCATTATCACTGCAATAAGAAACACGTTTGCTTCATACTGTAGTGATGTCAGTAGTACACAGGGATTTCCCACAGCTAGGGAAATGGCTCAGCCAATGATATACGTGTCTTAAGTATACAAGAATGGCACATTTTAAGGACAAAACAGGTTCTTAAACCTGCAGCTAAATGTAGCCAAAATGAACATAAAATCATGTATAAAATTACACATGATGCATATGGCCATCGATGTAAATGATCTGGCTTCCCTGTCCTTCACATAATATGACCTCAATACACTAATGTGACGTATCCATTACAGAAGTTTCTGTTTATGGACTATTTGTACAATAACAGGTTTACTCAGTGTGTTGGTGCAAAGTTTAATGACATGATATTTCCAAAGTGCAAAAATCTACAGCAACTGTTTGGAAATCAGTTTTCCATGATGTAACTACAATCTTTCTGTTGTAGGTTGCTTCACATTCCACATTATGTTTGCTCTTTGTCCCGGTAATGTAGATTTGTAAACATCTTTTCAGCAGACTGACGGTGTTGATACAAGCATGTTACAATTTTGGGGCCAAGTTTTTTGTATCTTATTACTCTTTAGGGAGGAGTGTAATGTCATTGTAAGCTTTAAACTGGAGACCTGTCACTGTTAAATTTCCATGTTAGAATAAACTCATTGTATGTATGGTTTAATACGGAATACTGTGATGTTTTATCATTTTTACCATTGTATATAAAAGATTTTATTAATGGTAATCTTTGTATTGTTTTTTGTTATTAGAGTGTGTGTGTGTGTATGTATGTATGTATGTATGTATGTGTGTGTATATGTATGTATGTATGTTGTAGCAGAGCATCCCAAAAGGAGCCTGGGAAAGTCCTGTTCGGAGCTTATAGGTCTCCCAGGTTCCTCTCCTATACATTTAGGGAATGCTGATCCGGGCTCCAGTGCAGGGTTTACTCATCTCTCCACTGGCAATTTAATCTCACCTGGAACCTGTACTCAGAGCTCTCTGCCTGGGGATCAAACAAGTCCTGTCTGAGAGAGCTGCAAGGTTGGTGAAAACTTGCAACAGTTTATGTGGAGGTTGACACGCTGTAGGCCTCCTCAGCCTGTTAGTTAGGATTTATCTTTTGTGTATGAAGTTAGTGCCGGGGTACAGGTAGGTTTTATTTTTGTTAATTTCTTGTGAACCACTGTGAATGCTCTTGTAGATCACCAATAAACACTGCACTGTTTGCCACTACTCCCTTGGATTTGGTATCATGTATGTAAAGTTACTTTGTAAAGGGTAAATCTACCCCAAAAGTAAAAAATGAGAGAGTAAATCTTATTGGTTGCTTCTGACAGCACATCCTGTCAAATATTTCTGTTTAAAAAATGAGATGAAAAACAGACCGTTAGTGGTCTGTGAGTACAGCTGTAGGCAACAATTTACTAGAAAGATGTAAGTGGGTTTATGTTTGGTAAACATTTGTTTAAACATATTGTTTTTATATGCACCATTGTGGGTTGTGAATTTACCCAGTGCTTCATACTAGCAAAATTAGTGTATCAATTATTAGTTGAAATAAATGTATGGGGCAATTAAATATGAATCAAAAACACAAGTGCATGAGTGCCTGGAGTGAATTTATTCCATAGTGGGATACAGAATGTTCTTCTATGCAACTATGATACTATATATGTGTTCACTCACAAAAAAAAAAAAATCCCACTAACCTGCCAAAAAATACCAACAATGCCTTTACAACAACCTGTAAAAAAAAAAAACCTGAATGTACCATATTGTATGCACTGACAGATACCATGCAAATCCAACAAAAAATCCCGGGGTATAGAAAAAAATGTGGTAGGGGGTTCCCATATAGGGCAAACCAAATCAGTCAAGAAACTTCCAGAAAAACTGACATTTCAAATCAAATTAACAAAAATCATTCCCAAGGGGTTTTAAACCCAGCAAAAATATAAAACGAGGAAAAACCCCCAATAGGGATATACTCCCTGGGAATCAATAAAAAAATTCTTATATATAAAAAATAGAACATTTATTAAATGGAAATACAAAGATCTATAATTAACCTTTAAAATTAATGCATCTGTCCTGTGTATATTCTACATAATAGACCCAAACAACTGTCTGAAAGGTCTGGCCAGACCAATTATAGAATTCCTCATGCATGATAAAAATCAGTCCCAAATACCATGATGTTAATGCCAAGAGAGTTTGCACAACAATTGTCACAGCCATTCTCAACTTCTGTTTACCTTGGCAGGGTGATTAAGCTTATCAGCAGTAATCAATGTATAATCATATGGAAGCTACACAGAGCCCCAAAACATTCTGTAAACAATTGTGAATTATTTACAAAAATCACGTATCTGTCCTTGCTAGGGTTGCCACCTTTTTTTCAAGTGAAACCCGAACACTCTAGCGGCGTGGAGACATTTTTTGGGGAGAATTAGTTGTGGCTTAATTATATTTAAATAGTGCCACCCGTTCATATGTAAATATCACAGTCAAAACTATTTTCAGTGGGGGGCCAGTAGCCCCTATCCTAATGTTGGTTCCCCCTGTCTGCCTGACATCTTCCGCTGCCATGAAACCCAGACTGTCCGGGTGAATCTTCAACCCTAGTCCTTGCCTTCTGTTGAAGAAACCTGCAATGAACTGCATAAAAAAAGTGCAAAGGCTCTAGGTCTATCTAAAGTTAAATCTTAAAAATGTATTCAAGTACCTTTAACTATTAACAAAAATGCATCTTATTTGTGTATCACTCGGCTGTAGGTCCTCAAATCATCTCTGAATTGGTGCTGACACTGTCCTTTCTTCCGGAGGGTGGCTACTTTTGTTCCCCATGGTCCCTGTGTGTGTTTTAAAGTAGCCACATTTAGTTTACTAATTTGTATAGAGATTGTAGTCCATAACGGGAGGGAGCTTGGAGCAGCAGTTAAGATTTAACTCCTGAGTTTAGTGTCACTTTAAGTAGCTCTCGATTTCCAGATCTACATTCTATCTGGAATATGAGCTAAAATTCTTCACCTTAATTTTTATTTATCACTTTTCCAGATGATTTTTTTTCTTTCCTTCTTAAAACCATTTAGATAAACAATGTAACTTCTACAATTGCTCATGCTTTGATACTATGGCCCACCTTAAATTTTATTCAAATCAACCTATTGGATATTCTCCGCTTAGACTCCGCTTACATATTTAAGGGATGGATTGGCAACGTTACAAGAAGCCAAGATGATCTATGTCCATTTGTATTTGCCACAGCTAATGCATACTTTCAATGTACTGTATATCTGACAGATAAAGTACATGAACTAATAATGAATACAATCTGAATCTGGTTTTGTAGTTCTAGTCTAGGCTGCAAGTATAAGTTTTAAGTATCTAGCAGATAGCTGTTTAACATAATTATATCCGGTATCTTCAGTCTGTATTTTATTGCATTGGCCAGCTTACAGCTACAGTAAACTCCCCGTTATCCGACATCAACAGGGATTGGTAGATTCCAGATAAATTACGTTTCTGGTTGCAAAATAGGGGAGGAGGAGTGCAGATTGGCTTCGCCCTTGTGACATGCCATAGTCTGTCAGCCAAGCACCAGGAACCAAAAAGGAAAATCTGTCACGGATTCCCAGACATTGTAACAATGGGAATTATAATATCCCTCACTCTCAGAAGGAAGCTGCAGCAAGCCTATTAGGGAAGGCTGTGTATCAGCAGTGTCAGTTCTCTACTGGGGGTATGAGGACATGTTTATTGATTTCTTATTAATTTAATATATTATTGCACAGATACATAGGGGTGGGGGGCAGGGGTACAGTTGTATTTTTGTTAGGTTGATTTATTTTATATTACCAGACCTATAACCTTTCTTCCTTCTCTCATACAAGATCTCCATATCTATTGTGCTAATTTTAAAATCAATCTATAACAATTGAAGGCACTTTATATCAATTTGCTTATGTCCTTGCTTTCTACCCTTTGCCCACATATTCTATTCAGATGGCTCCTATAACTAGGCACGCACATCTCAGCAGATGTATCAGTTGC